TGTACTCAAGCCCTGGCAGGCTGGCCATGACTGACTCCCTGTTGCACCTGGAGCTGGGAGCACCTGGCCATGGTCACCCTGCCCTAAAGGGTGTGTCTTCCTGTGCATCCTGGGCTGGGTTAGAAGGCAGGCATGCAAGGACTGAGTGAGACAGAGGGCATGCTGGCCTCAAGGACTGGGCTCAGGCAGTGGAAAAGAGCAGTGGAAAATAACTACCTGTGGGTGGACAATACTTGGGGTAGAGATCCTTGTTTCAGAGTCGAAGGCATGGAAGCAGCTAACTGTCCAGGTTACCTTTTGTGCAAGAGATGCTGACCTCTGTCAGAGGCATAGAGGCTGTGGTGTCTGGGACCTGCTGTGGGGTTAGGGAGGGCAACTCCCCAACATCAGCTTATGTAGGACAGGCAAATAGTTCTCTGCAGTGTTGTGACATTTTCTCTCATTTACTCATTAACCTGGACCCATTGCTCTGGCCTGCGTTTGCCCTTGAGTTCCACACATCCTTGTGTTTGCTGAGCAGAGTCTTGCACAATGGAGCAGGGCAGCCTGCAGTTGCACAGTGGGTTCTGCTCTGCATCCATTGCTGCTCTGGGGGACTTGTTGGCTTTCTACATTGTATTCCTGAGTGGCCCAGGATATTGAGGGTCACAATTTAAAATGTGCATTTTAGAAAAATACAAACAGCTACCTTGTTATGAATCTGTGGCTTGATGCCTGATGTGTAACTGCATTGTAACAATAGTCTGCCTGGTCTAGCACCCATCCAAATGAAGCCCAGGTGCAGCTGTGGCTGACACACATCTGGCAAGGAGACCATGACATGATCATGCTGAATTCCCATGGGATTGTGAGTGGGTCATGCTGCTTTCTGTCTGGCAAGGTCTGTGTTCACTCCCCAGCATTTTCACATCACGACTGAGCTGGAGCAGCAGGATGTGTTTTCATCCTCTCCTATCTGATTGGCAGGCTCCAGCAGTCTTCTGGATATTTATTCCAATATTTTCACCTCACAGTCATCTCAGGGTGCTCAGCCTGTGCTCTCATCTAACAGCTACCAGCCACTTCAGAGAGCAGCACCTCTTAGGCCTGCCAAAATCCTCTGAGGGTGACACTGATTCTGCAGTGTAAATGCATCAAGGGATTGCCCTGCTGGTGACTCCTGCAGTGTGTTGTAGAGAGGACGGGCGCCCAAAAATTCAACAATACAAAGTCTGTGCATACCAGGAGCTGAAACATCAGTGCTGCTAAGGTTAAGACAACCTCATTGCCCTGAGATTGCTGCAGTGGCTGGGAGGGAGAAATGGGAATGAGAGCACATGACATTCAGCGTTTTTTTGCAAGAAAGGATGGACTTACACAGCTGACCATCTCTGCCATGGCAGACACTTAGGAAAAAATGCTTCCTTTCAATCCAAATTTTAATACAGAGTTTTCTCTGAATGAAGGGACATAAAGGCTTATCCCCTCCTAGATGGTCTCTCACAGTTGACTGTGCTCAGCACCCTGTTTTCTGAGACGCTGCTGCTTTTAGTAAGCAAAGAGAGAGTTAGAGTGAAATAGGCACATGACATGCTTACAGCTGCAATAGAGTTAATTTTCTTGTGCAGTGCTGTGCTTTGGATTCAGGATTGGAATAATGTTGGTAATACAGTGATGTTTTGGCTATTGTTAAGTAGTTCTCACCCTAATTCAAGGACTTTTCAGTTTCCTGTGCTCTGCCAGTGAGGAGCTGCACAAGAAGCTGGGAGGGAGCATGGCCAGGACAGGTGAGCCGAACCGGCCAAAGGGAAATTCTTGGAATGGATATGGAATGGATATTCCATACCATAGAACATCATGACCACTGTATAAACTGGGGAGTTGACTGGGGGAGCAATTGCTGTTCAGGGATGGGCTGGGCATTGGGCAGTGAGTGGTGAGCAACTGTATTGTGCTCTTGGAGTTTCTTGGATTTTATTCCTCTCTTTTTTATCTCCTTGTTTTTGTTGTTGTTAGTAATAGCAATGATAACAATTATACAATAACTATTAGTAACCACAACAACAACAATAATTTTGCTTTCTTTTAATTATTAAACTGTTGTTAACTCATAGGTTTTACCTCTTTCTGATTCCCTTCCCTGTCCCTCCAGGTGAACAGATAGAGAGAGGGGGTTATACCAGCTGGGGTTAACCACAACACCCATCCAAAGGAACATTTAATCCATCTGTAGAATGTATATGACACACCACAGAAGTCACTATCATGCCACTAAAACTTTTTTGCAATGGCTTGATGGATTTGAGATGGCTGATGTCTGACAATGTGAATCCAGCACTCACCCAGCTCCTGTGAACCTAGACCTAAATCAAAGAACACAGATGCAGAAACATGGCTGAATTTGGAAAACAATCTTTGCCATGAAGCTCATGTATACATAAGGATCCTACAGGCTAAGTATAATGGACAACAATATAATTTTGAGCCTGCAGTCATTACCCAAGTCCCACCCCAGAACAGTTTTGTGTATAGCAGGTTGCAATAAAGAAATCAAGGGCATAAATTCAGCATTTCTTGAGCCAGTGGATGAAAAAAGAGCACAAATAAACACAATTCTTTAGTGTATGCAAATTTATTCAACTCTGAAATTATTTATTTACAACTAATGACTGATACCAACTGATGAGGTAAAAATATGAGGTATTGATATGAGTATAACATTTAAAAATGCAATTATCATAATGTATCAATGTAACAATACAAAATACTGTGGTAGCTGAATGGTAGACATGGCATAATGTGCATTTTGAAGAAATCTTGTTTCAATAATACATGGCTTGGAGATGCCAGAAGCTTATGACAGAGCTTCTGCAAGGGCAGGAAAACAACCCTACCTTGCTAAGGGTGGCAGATGGCACAGGGCCTCTTCCAGCTGAGCAACGACTTATGAGACAGGATAAAACCACTGTCCAGGTTTTCCCTTCTTTTCCTTAGGACATTATTTATTGCCAGACACTGCCATTCCCAGGGCTAGAAATTCTGTGCCTGTTAATGCAGAGGCACCGCTGTATTTATTTATGTAAACTAATGTAGCAGAAGTACTCTAATTGCTCATGTTTTGGAAAACAGCCGGCATGAAATCTACTGCCATGGCCACAGGCGTCTGAGAGGAGCTGCTGCTTTCTGGAATGGCATTCCCAGCTGGGGAGGCACTGTTTGCTCCTGGGAAGGCTGAGCCTGGGCAGTGGGGGTGCCCTGCAGCCAGTGGGTGACTGCCAGACCCCACTATGGCCACGTAACAGCCCCGTGAGTGCTCCCCTGTCTGCAGGATTTAAAGCTCGTGGTAGTTGCACATTGCAACTATTGTTGGCCATAAACTCGAGGCAGGAGCTCCCAGGCAGCCAACATCCCTGATCCCAGCACTTGCACAACAAAACATGAGTGACACAGATCATGGGAGAAGATGAAAGTGACTTTTCTGGACTCCTGCTCCTTCACAAGGACATGCTGGAGCACTGTGGTTCACCTTGGGGCACCCTGTCCACCCTGAGCTCCCACAGGTGTGCTCCCTCAGCTCACAGCACTGTCCCCTGCCAGCACAGCCCCCATGTGTGTGCAGGATGGCACCTGGGGTCATGCTCTAGCAGCTGTCACCAATCCACTGCACAGCTCCCACACCTGGGGAATGTTCAAATCTCTGGTTTTGAAGGGACTTCCTCATTCATTGAATCTGGGCACAAAGCTGTAGCTTCCCATAGGAAATGCGTCCTGCTTAATCCACCTCATACTAATCTTTCAGGATTTTGCTGGAAGGACTGAGCTGAAACACTGGCTGTGAGTGACTCTGCTGGTTTATGCAGCAATAAATAAAGTCTAAGTGAACAAATGCGATTAATGAAGAACAGTATTAACAGGCTTGTACATTCTTACTGAGTCATAGATGTAATAACATTTTGGTCCTAGGTTAGTTAAAAACATAATGGAACCCTGCCTCAAAGGCAATGTCAACAAATTATTATTATTACTTTTAAAGCATTCTTCCATTAGCAAAATAATAGGTCCCTGAAAATGAAATTATATAATAGGCTTAAATGGCTCCTACTCCTCATAGTCCTAATCCTGCTCCCACCAATGCCTACAGAGGTGGGATCGTGCAGAACAGTGCAATATAAGATGAAAATGCTTGCTATTACTATAAAAGCAATCTTTCCAAGAATAGTATTTATTTAGTCTTTTAAATCTCCAAGATGTGTTTAAAATCTTAACAAAGCATAGTTATTTGGATAGTAAGAATATTAAAAGGCATGGTGTTCATCTGCATGTCTTTGTGTCCACTGGATGTGGAAAACCTGCTTTGGATTAGCCGTCTCTATGGGAGAAGGAAAGAACACAGAAACACTCAGAACCTAGACAAAATGCTTACCAAAAAAAATTAATTTACAGCTTAATAAGTTACCAGTCTGATTTCAGCCATCTCAGGACACACAGCATTACCTTGTGCTGTCTGAGGATGAGCAGTTACCTGGAACACTGCACACAGTGAGGTCTCTACTGACAGACACCAGTCATTTAAGGCAACAGGTAAGTTTTCAACACCTTCTGCTAAAAGTCACAATCCTGCAGCTGAACATAAATGGCCTCCATAATGTCTGTCTCAGATGCATCTCCATGTATTTTATTTGGTGAGACTGATTCCCTCCTCATTATTTTTAAATGCACTGTAACCTGCTTCTTCCTTAGTTCCTGTAATTCTTCCTACATCTATTTCTAGGTACCTTCTCATAGCACACACAAACACAAAACATATTTGGGAACAGGCGTTTTGTTATCACACGAATGAGGCCTGGTAGCTCTGTGATAACAGCAAACACAGCTTATGTAGCAGTGACACACTAAGAAACAAGTGACAGGTCCACTTAAGGTCCAACTGATGCAAGTGATTTGCACTGAGTTATATACAAAATAATTAATTTATGCATATACATATATATATATAGATAGAATATAGATAAATATATACATACTGTACATTATTTATTTACAATTAAAATATGCTTCTTAGAAGCCTTTAAATACCGGAGTTATGTAACATACAAGTAATGGCAATAATCTGTTTTTAAAGTAATAAAAGCTCTCTGAAGAAATGTTTAGTTCAATAATCAAAATTAATACAGAGTGGATGCAGGGGAGGGGGGAAGGTGAAGTCTCCAGAATAAAAGAACTTTCCTATAAAATTCCTTTTTCAGCTTTGTATAGACCCAAGTCTGGGCAGATTTCTGCAGCTTAAATCAGACCTTTGCTTTCAGTATTCCTGTTCCCTGCTAGATCCTGATTTATGCTCACATGCTCCCAGGAACACTTCCTCAGATTTTTGTTTCTGGTCCCTCAGCAATCAGAGGTTGAAATGAGTTTCTGATCCTGGCAACTTCTGCTGCACACAGATGTCCAAAGCCTTTGTTGTACCACTCTGGGGAATGTCCTCTGAAGAAATGAAAAGAGAATTATTGAGAAACTCAAATACTCAAGAAACGTGCCCCACAGAAACGTGCTTGCCATGCTTCGTGCTCCGCACTGCCCACGGTGGTGGTGGCCATTCAAATGCTTGTCTTTTTAAGAGTACTCTGAAGTTCTCCCTTGCAGTAATCAAATGAGCAGATTCTGTTTCTAAGGTCACATTCTAACAGTGGTGGGCACTAAGTGGAGAGGAGACTGCAGGAACACTCTGAAGCAGCAAAGCTACCCTAACTGTGCCCTCTGAGTTCCCAGCATCTGAGCTTGAGGGTTTTGTCCTGCTGAATGGCCATTGCTTTGTGCAGGTGGGATACTTACTTTAGGTCAATCCTGCAGATGTGGGTCAGCCTGGCTTTCCCTGAGCCACAGGGCTCTATCAAGTACTGGGAGTCCATGACGATGGCTCGCACAGCTCCCATGAGAGGAGCCTCTTCGTGCTCCACAGAGATGGCAACCAGCATGCACATCCCCTTGGGCAAATCCGTCCTCCATGTCCTGCAGGGACAGATAAAAGATGGATTCACATTAGCAATGAAACTTTTGGGCCCGTGAGTAAGAACCAGAACTGAAGTTACAGTCTCCTTGTCTGCCCATCCTTGTTGCCTGCGATGCCAGTGGGCTGTCCTAGGGGTCCCTGGTAGAGATTAATGGCCATGTGGAATGGCCACCCATCTATGTGACTCCAGGTGGAGAAATTTTGCTTCTCCACAGGAGTATTTGTAACCATCAGTATTCTAGGGCATGATAGAGCCTTTTGCAGTCAGACAAAAGTTTTGGAAAGGAGAAAGACCGAGGGTAAGCCATCCAGCAAAAGCTGAAACTGTGCATTGCACCCATGCAGGCTTACAGAACAAGAAATGCAGTTTAGTACAGCAGAAGTCCTCACTAGTACCCAAAATATGTTTCAAGGGTGTCTGAATTAAAAACAAAATGTCCTTCCATTTCTTTCCTCTCCCAGGTTTCTAGCCTCTCTTACATGCTGGAGAAGTTTTCCATCAAGTTCAAGATTTCTAGACTTTAATACTTAACGGTTTTTTTTTTTTTAGAAGCATTCTCTACATCCTTGTGTCTCACATCTTTCTCATCTGCACTGAATCTCAGAGGATAGGTCTGTGCTCTTTCCTATGCTGTGGGAAGAAATGAGAAATTCCCACTGTGCTGTGCAACATGCATCATCCTGCTGTGGATTGTCTGAGACAGGGGTTATGCTGCCTTGGGAAGTATCATATTTTAGCAGGTAAGCTGCTTTCAAGGGCTGTTGAAGTTTGGACTTCAGCAGATAATTTTAACATTCTGCATTTTTCTTACATGAAACTGAGCTGTTATTCAAGACACTGCAGGAAGTTGCAGGAAGATTTTACATGTGCATGGCATTAACAAAATTGGTGAGCTATTTTGGCAGATGAAACATGGGAGAAGGAAATCACAGCTGAGATCCAGTATGAGAAATGCTGAACCACGTCCTGCAAGTGCCTGCACAGTGTTTAGATGTGCCCACATCATTTTGGTAACTATCCAGCACTCCCTGGGCCATTTGGGAAGTGGAAAGTTCTCTGTCCCAGAGATTTCAGAAGACTTTAGTTTCCTGTTCCCAGTCATATGGATTTAGGCCAGTTTCAGCAGTTCTTTAAATACCTTTCAGTAGTAGAATCATGGCACCTAACTCACCAAAATGCTGTCATACTTAATGAACATGAAACACTTGTGGATTCTTTAATAAAAATGATGCCTGTGCAGGGCAGCTGAGAGCTGTGTCATATCCCAGGCATATGAAACATTTCTCCTCTCCTCTTACCATCAGAGTCTTCTCTAGGGAGCCTAATCCCCTTGTATGACTGTCATATTGAAAAAAAAGGGAACAACTAAGTTGATCCTTTCACAGCCCAAAGTTTGAGAAGGAGAAAATTGCCATCTGTTAAAATATATTTATTCATGTCCCCAGAGGTATATTATAATTTCACTGTTCACTTCCCACCAATCATAAGGTATCAAATTGACTGCAGTATTGCTGGCTAACCTTGCTCTAGACTTAATGATATCAATCAAAAGAGATAAACAACAGAATCTGACAGATCTGCCTGATGGCTGTTTTCAGCCCTTAAGAACCCACCAGGATTCATTTCTATGATATGTATTTCAGTCCTTGGGGGTCATTCTGCCTGGGTCAGTGAAAAGAATGAGAACTCAATAGCAGGATTTTCCTTTAACTGATGTGGCTGCACAGCAGGTCTTTAAAGAACATAAACCACCAGGAAACCTAATAGTGAACTAAGTGGCAAATGAGAGGACCAAATTACGGCCATCAGAACCTCCCTACCGCTCGCAGGCCATCTTCTTGGTGCCTTGCAGAGGGCCAAATTTATCACTGGCTCAAGCTAATGACATTATATAAGAAGATTATTTATAAAATAATGATAGATATATAATTATATAAAATATATAATATATATTTGATTATAAAATAGTTAATTTAGCCCAGTATACTGTGGTGAGGCAAAGGAAATAGAGTAATGGGAGAATTGGTTACAGAAAGCATTTTTTAAATCTTCCCCTAAGAGTTCCAATAAGTCTTCCCTTATACCAACAATATCTGCGTGTTGTCATCCTTTAAGAGACTACTAAAGTTCATAAAAGGGATGTACTTTTATAATTAAATTTTATTTGACCCATATTTTTCCTTCAATCTTCATTCCCTTTAATACAATTCTGACTCCCTGTACTCCTTCCTTTGTCAAAACTGCTTTGTATTTCTCTAGCAAATAATTTCAATCAAAGAAAGCAGGGACCGAAAGCAAGAATGCACAAAATCGTCCTACAATAAATAACTGTAGGACTGACCCTGTAAGTGAAATATGTCAGCAGCTCCACAATAGCTCCTAGCAAGCAAAGGCCTGGATTTCAAAGACAGAAGAGGGGGGTCTTTTTTACTGTTTTGTACAGGCAGATAGACAATGGCAGAACTGGGATTGAATGTAGAATATTGATACACAGCTATACATTTATTTGAGAGAAGTCATCCCCTGGAAGAGAGAATACAAATCTACTGCCTCTTTCTGTTCATTTCCACACTAGGATTTTTATGGATCAGCATTTCTTCATTTACAAAGACTCCAACTGAAAATTTAAGATAATAACTTAAATAGACACTGTATAACAGCCTTAGCTTAAAAGCACCACTATCTTCTCTTCTAAACATTTGGCTCTTAAACATCAAACATTCCCCAGAGAACAGCAAAAGCAGCGTAAAAAACAATTGGGTTCTATTTGCACTGTTTTGACAACAAACAAAGCTAAGAGAGAAGAGCAGCTATTATCAGACATCTGTTCTGAGGAAGAAATTATATTTATGGCCTCAGGAGTATGTGCTGCTCAAATTACATCAGAGAAAAGGTCAGCATGCTGTAGGTGTATGACTAATTCACTTTGAGAAATCAACACTGCTGCCCAGAAGTAGAGTTCCTGGAGAGCAATTACACAGATGTGAAGGCTGAGATAAGTCCAGATCTTCCTTTATGCACTGCAGGAGGCAAAGGTACCAGAGAACCGCCCTCAGCTTACCTGAGAACAACAAAGTCTCGGACGGGGTGAGGAGCCATGGTGTTCAGAACATACTGGTAAACTTCTGTCTGCTTGTCCAGGCTCTCCACCACCTTCCACTGCAGGAAGTCTTCATCCCAGAGGTGACGTTCTCTCAGCACTCGGTTCAGCACAACTGATGGGGGGGCTTCAACTTCAACTGAGGCTTTCCAAAGCCTTAGTGGGTTCCCATCCCCAACCTGAAGTGACCAAGAACACAAACCCCGGTAATTTACATGCCTATGTTCAGCAGATGATAACTGAGGACAAAATCTCAATGTGTGTGTCTGACTTCAGCTTAAGATCATTCGTATTTCCCTGCTAGTCATTACTATTATTGCTATTGCTGCTGCTCTACTAGTCCTGGATGGAAATCTGAAGTGATTCATTACTCTGCTCTCACAACAGAATATATCTGGACTAGTTCCCATAGTGCCAGTGAGGTTCTTCATTACTTCTGGTGTGACAGACACTTTTCCAAATCCAAACATCCTAAGTGTAATGATGAATATGTGTCTGCAAAAGTAAAAAGAGACGAGAGACTGAAACCCTGGGCTGAAATAAAGGAGGCAATCTTATACACTACCTGGGACTGAGGGTCCATGAACCCTCCTGGTTAATTCTGAGGGAGCAGAACATACTTTGATTCAGTTATGTGTCAGGTACACAGATGTTTGCTCCTCAAAATAGCTGCCAGGGAGGTGTTGGGAAAACACCTTTCAAAGAGCACAGACTATTTGCTAACTCTTTCTTGCTCACAGATCCTGTTTCTTGGAACACCTCCACAGCTTGCAGTAAGGGGAGCAGAAAGTGCTGGGCTATGCACAAGGTGAATATCCTAGATTGCACACATCCAGCTTTTCTGCATGGTTTTAGGGGTCCTATTTCAGGCAGTAAACAACATAACTGTAATCATTGGATCCTGCAAGCCCTGCTTTTCTAACCCTTCCCTACCCTACCGTTCTCATATACCAATGTGAGTACTTTGGAAACCTCTAGTACCTCCCATAGACCCAGGGAGGAGTGTTTCCCCAGAAACCCACCTTCCTCACCTCCAACCTTAAATTATTGCATGTTTTTGTAATTCTTTCTCCCCAAAGCTTTCAGTTCCCCATTTCTCCTGCCCTGGAGCCCCAGATTCCCAATCCCCTCTGTAGTCTCACAGGTCCTTGGCCACCAGCTATAAAGGCCTCTATTCCCTCTCTCCCATCTCCCACATCCTGCTCCCACCTGTGCTCTCTTCCCAACCTCCCACAGTCCCTCCCTGGAGAGGTCACTCACAGAAGCTGGCTACAAACCAAAGTAACTGCAATTTCTTTGCCCTGACAGAGGGGTTGCACTTTCCCAAGCTGGGCTAATGCTGCCTCCTGCCCCCTCACCATCCAGATCTCACATTCCTCCCAGTGCTCTTCTCCTGCCTAATTAGTGTCACCCGCCCCTAATCCATCCCTTCCTCTTGCTAGCTGCTGCTGGTTTGGAGACCTCTGCTTTGCTATTCAGTTTCCAGCAGCCCTGACCTCCACTCTCTGCAGGGACCCTGCAGCACCCTCTGCCTCACTGCAGTGGTCTGGCTTTCTCTGAAGAAGTGATGGAGCCTAAAACAAATTCAGAAATTTTAATAAAAGCTGCAGTATCAAAAATCTACATGAAAAAAGGACAAAATGATCAGGGATAAAACTGGCCTGCTTAAAAAAGCATAGGAGAGCCTGAAGAAGTTTTGTAATTACCTATGTTCTAGCTGTGCTCTCCAAACTGCTAGAAAACATCAAGAACTGGTTGGAAACTTTTCATGTCCCCCAGTCAAAGAGCGTGCCCAGGTAATGTATTCTGTTGTTTAACATCTTGGCTCACTCTCTGATTGTGTTGTTTGCTGTGTCACTTGATCTATTTTGGAGACCCCAGCTTACTTTCTGTGCCTTTTTCTGGAATCTCATACTTGAAACACTATTACAGTACATTTTAACTGCTTTCAGCGATCTTTTTAAAAATAATAATAAATGAGTGCCTTGCCAGAAAGAAGGGTGTGAGTTTTGCCATACAACATGCCAGGGTGGCCCATAGCTGAGCTGCATTTTGCTTTGGTTTCTTTACTGCTTCTTTCATGTCTCCCCAAATTACCTTTTTGTAGGCAAGTTCTGTGTTCTCTACACTGGAACATGTGACCCATCCTTTGAATTTCTCTTTTGCTTCTTTCTGGAGATTTTGCATGAGATTTTCTAGGTACACCTGATAGTTCCCTCCTTCCTCATCCACTTGTTTACCAAGCTCATCCAGGGTAGGAGAATGCACTTCTGCATCAACATAGGAGTTTCGGGATTGGGTGATCATCTCATGTGGGACCTGTGCCACAGAAGGGATGGAAAACACAAAGGGAAGATCTGAGAACTTTTCCTTAAGACAATATGTTTCTAGGCTGATGGACCATTCACCATTCACCCAATTGTTCCAGCCTAGGATCTGCAAAATGCACACCAATTTCTGTCTTATGCAAGATGAAACATCAAAGTAGTCTAATGAAACAGCCCATGGCTCTGAACAGCACTACTCATGCAGAACCATGTTAGACTGATCAACTGGATGTCAATACCCCACTGTTACTCCTTTAGCCCTCACAAATACTGCCTTGTGCTTCTGGGCAAAGAAGATACGAGCATTTGCTCTCCTCCAGCTGCAGTGTAAGTAGGTGCAGGAATGACTGCAGGTCTCTGTGTGATTTTTACTTTATTGTATGACACACAGAAATAAAGTGTAAATGCAATTATTTTTAAGAGGAATAAGTTTTAATTGAGGCCTTAAAAGCATTGTAATAAAATTTTACACTAGCAGATTTTGATTTGAATTAGTCTAAAATTTTCTAATCCACTGGTTTGGGTTGAAAACTGTCACAGCATAATTACCCTGCATCTTTTGAATAATAAAAGGGAACTGCCATAAAGAAATGAGATAAATAAACTTTGGATGAAGCAAGTTTACAAATAAGTGAGGCACCAATCTCTGAGCTAACACAAGACAGAAAATATAAGCGTAAACATAAATACTTCAAAGGGTGCTGCATTATGTGGCCATGAATAATGCTGTTTGAGTCTCTCACTCACCTCAAAAAGTTTGTTGCATTCCATTATCATGTGAGCAAGTCCCTGAGTAGCTGCCAGGTTTTCACTGAGGTCCTTCTGATCTGGCTTCCCTGTTGCATATTTTTTCTGTATTACTCTGTAATTGAATTCAGTATCTCAGGTAAAGAGCTGAATATTTTTAATATGAAAGCAAAACCAGCAGGATGCTCCCAACATCAGAGAGAAAAAACGCCTATCTTTAGTTTCTATTTATCAACAAGACTGCTCAAACTGTTGGGCCTTTTTTAAAGGAAAAATGTTTACCTCAAATATTGCTCAGCCAAAGGTAAAAGCAGGAAAGGTTATGCATATCCTGCATGATGTGTTGTACATTTTGAAATGGATTTTTAACAGACTTGATGTAAAGTGGTTTACATTGTTACTTCTTAAAGCCCTTGTTCAGACACGAGTTATACATGTACTTGACCAAGAATCTCAGTGTATTCTGAACCAGATGGGAGGGAAAAAAGTCAAGAGGGACCACTAATGTTTAGCCTGGCTATGCCCTGTTTAGTCTACACTCACCATGTTACAATTTTAATGTGGCCTGAAATAAACCCTGTTTCCTGAATGGCAGAATGTAGACAGTAAATTGAAAGTGAAAAAAACCACTCATTGAAAATCTATATATCAAAATCCTTTAAAACATGGTTAATCTTTGACTTCAACCAGAGCAAAATCAACCCCTTTTCCTTTACAGAAGTCAACATTACTCATGCAAAACTCACTAGTGCCCCATTGAAAATTCCGCATGGAAAGCAGGCACTGCATGTTCACAACAGACAACCTGGAATGCCTTCTGGGCTTGTGAAAACAAGTGTGCTTCTGGCTCTGCAGCAGGGGTTTTCCCCTCTTACTGAAGCCATGCCCTGTTTAATGTGTGCTGGAAAGCAGATGGCTTGGAAAATTTTTCCTGCGTACCACTGAAAGTATCACTCTGTATTCAGGATGTGACTATTTATAATGCTGAGAAGAAACATACCTCGGAGAGCTTTCTTTCTTCACTATATTGAGATGGAAGAGGGAAGGGGCCAGACAAACAGCGATGTTCATGGGGGTCATCTGATTTTCCTCCACGGAGGTGACGTCGCTGAGGAAGCAGAGCAGGGTCTGCAGAACCTCCCTGTTCTCATCGGCCATGAGCATGATGGCCGCCTGCACCGCCTGCAGCCGCTGCTCCTTGGGGACATCTGCCAGGGAGCAAGGGACGGCCAGGGGGTCAGTTGTCTGATCAGGTGAGGAGCCAGAGAGATAAAGCTACCACAGACATTCACAGTCCCCTCAAGTGCTCAAACCCTGCGCAGAGGTGGTGCTCAGGGACGCGTTTCAGTGGTGGGCCTGGCAGTGTTAGGTTAGTGCTTGACTCACAGAGGTCTTTCCTGACCTTAGCAATGGCTTTGTGAAGAGGCAGATGACAGGAGACCAAGGGGAACAGATCAGCTGGTCCTGATCTGCTCCTCCTTCTGCTCCTCCACAAAGCACAGCTTCCCTGGCCAGTGTTTGGCATGTCTCTGTTTGTTTGAAGGGCTGCTCCCAAGAAAGACACTGGGCTTCATTTGAAGTTTATGAAGGGAGAAGAGTACTCAGTACTTACAGCTTTAAATGGTATTTTTCAGGTTTTCTTTGTCCCCTGGCAAGACAGAAGTTTAAGTCTTAGGGAAGCTTTGGGAACACTCAGAATTGTGTCCTAAACCGTAGAAGAGTTTAATGGAAGAAGTAGTGGAAATGCTTAAATAGCACCTCAGACAGATTCATTTCTAAAACTACCATAAGTTCTCTCAGTTTGGACTTCAAGTCCTCCTCTGGGTATTACATACTCTCTATAATCAAGTGGAAGAAGAACAAAAGCAGATTTACAGAAGAGGGAACAGCCAGCTTTTAAAATTTGACTGCTAGCCTTGTACAAGCACTTTATTTTAAAAGCTTTCAGACATGAAAGACAAAATGAACACAGCTCAATACTTCTAAAGTTTCTGAAAGCAGCAAGGCCAGGTTTTTCTGAGAAGTCAGGGGAGCCTTTGCTAAATCCATGCCATGTGTCTTTTCTTCCCATGACACTTTCTGGTAATCCCTCCCTCCCCTTTATTGTTGCTCTGATGGGTCTGGTACATGAAACAGAAGACCAGCGAGTGCTTCAAGTCACAGGTAAACATTAAACAACTGGGAGTTTTAGGAAAATGGAGAAAGTTTCATCAATGGTATGCCATATAAACTACTATGCTAATAATCTCATCCCAAATCCTATGTGTTACAGCAATTCCAGCCATTCTGGATATATGAAAAAGGTCTTGGATATATGAAAAATATCTTCAGTGAGTCCCAGAAAATCAGAAATCTCCTGCCAATACACTAGGAGAGGAGAATCCTTCCTAACTTCACATTAACAATTTGTTAAACAGAACAAAGGGCAAGAAAACGTCTCAGCTACAGATTAGTTAATTGCAGATGTTACGAAATACAATTGGTATCCCAGAAATTTTCAACATTTTTATTTCTGTGAAAGGAATTTTGTCAGTACTGTCTGAAACAGAAAAATATATTTGTTGTTGGTCACATGGAAAAAAAATCCTTGCTACTCCTTCTTAATTCAAACACTATTTTCTGATGCCTACAGAGCCCATTTTTTCTTGTTCCTACCTTGGTTTAAAGAGACTCATCCTCAAGTCTTTCTGAAAACCTTTAACTCCTAGTGCATTTTAGCAATCTTAACTCATCTAACTCACCTTTTCCCCTTCTCTCTGAAACAGAAGTTCTTCAGATTTCCTGCTGAAGCACCACACAGGCATTACAGAGTCAGCCCATGCCTCTTTCTATATTTTTTGTTGGCTGGTATCAATGTTTCTCCATTCAGCCTCATGTCTTGGAAAAGGGGAGCCCTCTGGCTACAGACCTGCTTATGCTGATGCCACTGGGATCTGCCATCTCTCTCTTCCTGTAGCAAGGGGGTAATTTACTTGCAGTCTCTTCTGTGCAAAGAGACATCCCCAGTTTTCATTAAGCAGTAGTTTGGAGGTGATTTGTTTCCAAGGACATGCAGAACATGTCCTTGCAGTGGATAATCTTCTCATTGGCCACCTCCCCATGGAAATGATTGTGACTGCCATTTTATTAGCAGCCAGAATTCCTGTTGCTTTTCTGAACAAGCTTATTAATGTGTGTGCAGGCAGACAACTTGTGAGCAGGAAAGGAGAAGGGGAAATGATGGTCCAGGGCTGGGCACCAACTCTTGCAGTTAACTTGTGTCCCAAGACATCACGTACAGCCAAACCCACTGAATTGATTTGCAGTGCTGTCTTTCACATGCAGAATCCAGCGTTCTCTACCAGCTGCAGACACTGTGGTGGTAAATTCATTAGTGACTGCATGCCACAGACAGATTTTTACAGTAAAGGGAAGCAACGGAAGTATCTGAGATTCTTAAGCACTGGGATTACACAGTGTTTTAAAATGGCTTTCTATTGTTTTGGCAGCTGAAATGTCTGCAAGTGAAAAGACTAGACACACTTCTCTTTAGTGCTTCCAATTATTTGGCTTAGGCTGGCTGCATCTGCCAGAGTGCTGGCTGACTGGTCCTCATAATGGACACTGTCAGGAAAAAAACTCTAATTCCTCTGGCAGTTCAGTGTTTTCCTCACTGTTTATTTCTCCCTCAGTCTGGAGAAAAGATACACAGTCATTTCCTGATTCACAGGGACTTTCATTATTCTGATGCATCTCAGATTTTTCTGAAGATTGCTTATGCTGGAAAGAAAAGAAGAAATCCCCTGGTTTCTTTCTTTCTCTGAGTTCTTTACATAGAGCTTATGATCTACATGAAGGCAGCTTGTTTTTGCATGTACATTTTATTGACTATTATGAAAAAATAAATAATCAGAAGCCACAGCAAGGAAAAGGACTACAGAGACACATATTCTCATGGTCAAATACCACTTCTCCATGCTCAGAAGACTCATTTATATTGAGATATAAATGCATGAAATGGGCCCACAGTTTAAAGAAATCTGACAAAAATATGAGTCTTCATGCTCTTTGTGTCCAGCAGCCTTTTCTTCTGTCTTCTTTCTGGCTGTGAGGCTGGTATGAAGATTGTCTTTCCATTAAATTTGACACTGAAATATTTAGGTGGTACTAAAGACCTGTTAGTGAACGATTTTGAGGGCAGAGGGGTTTTTTATATCTCAAAGCCTAGCAGAAAGAAACCTATCCAGTGTTAACATGCCAAAAATATTTACAGTATATTACTATATAACAATTTCTAATTATTTATAATAAGAGAAATATGTAGAAATATCAACTTACATTGATAGATGTGCAGAAAAGTCTCTCCTAGTTTACTTGTGAGGAGGGGTTCTGGCAAGTCCCTGAAGAATTGCTTGACCATGTCAGCCACATCATATGCTGACTGGTCCTCATAGCTGACGTTTTCTGGGGAGCTCTCGTTCATCTGGCGCAGGGCCTGGATTCGGGATTTCACTCCAGATTTCCGAAACAGACCCACCTAAAAACGTACCACATTGACTTGGGTAAAGGGGAAAGTGGCACTTGAAGAATATATATATATGCTATATACATTTATATGTGGGGACTTGGATCATGACCAAAGCTTGGGTTGCTTATTTCACTCTAGGCAAGGAGGAGGAAAATGTGCAGATGCAATTGATGGTCCTACAAGTCTCACAGGCAAGCACAGGCCCCCACAGAAGGATTGCAGGGGTTAATAATGCTGCTGCTCTCTGTCCCATTCTAGAGAGACAGTTCAGAGTGCCTTGTGGTTTCTCTGCTGCCTGAGAAGTTTAAGCAAGATGCTCTGGTGATATAAATCAGCCTGGCTTGCTTGGCTTGGGTCACTGACTGTTGATTTACTCCAGCTGAGAATCTGGCCCCTCATATTTATTTGGGTATATATTTTGAAGACTAACAGGAAAATATTATGCTTAGCTAAGTAATAAATGCTGTGACAAAAGATTAGTACTTCCTAGTAGAGCTTTAAAATCAAGATTAAATGTATTTTTTCCCTTTCATGCTCTCTGCTTCCAAGAGTTCTCCCAAATCTCACTGAAAAGTCCAGTTCGAGAGTGGGGGCCACGGAGGGATTACTTGCGCAGTGTCACTAAGATACATTTTTATCCTGTTTGCTTTCTATTTTGAAAGGAAGTGGTAATTCTTCAAATGATGCCTTCAAGGCAGGGCTGCCCTTTCTTGTCCTTCTCCACCTGCGGAATTCCCCCCGGGGTGAATTCCTAGGCCTCAACCACATTATTTATTCCCAAGTGAGTTTACAGTGTTTCATTTGGGAAGCGTTAACACTGTTTTCCCTTCAGTTTTGCAGGGAAAAAGGCGAAACATTGAGAGAGACCTATGGGAAAGGCCCATTTCCAGTTGGGAATTATAGACCCTTTTTCCTCTGTGGTTGCTGTCTCGCTGGTGATTGGCACAGTCCATCAACAAACAGTAAAGGTAAGGGAATAATGCCTTCTGGCCTTCTTCCCTTACTTCTGAGCAAGAAGCAGCACAGAATTCACAGAGGACCCTCCTCTCTCTAGAACACCTCCCATGCTCACCGGAGGGTATTTAGGACCCTGGTTAACTTGCACATTCATGACACTAATTACACAGATCACAGCTCTGTGAGGGGCTATATTTATTTAATTACTTATATGGAGAGGAGCTGCTGCACCAGACTGGCTGTGAGGCAGCTCTTCTCTGTCTTCTTACTGATTAATTTAGTGTCACTTGAGAGCTAAATTTATGTAGAGGAAGTGGAGAACTGGAGTTTGCCCTGTGTTCTGTATTTATGATCCCAAGTGAAGCTCTGCTCTTCTTCCTGACAAGAGCATACAAGAAAGAACATCCAGCTCTTTTCATCTGGTTTTCCCTTTCCCTTTCTCTTCTTCTTTTTAAATGCCTTTTCCTCTTAGAAATGTGTGCTGAAGATGAAGAAGATGGACTGGCTAATTCTGTCCAAAAAATAAGGTTTTGGCTTGCAGTAGATAAACGTCAGACCACAGGCTCAGTTCCCTCCTTTTGATGGAAAGTGCTCCTGCTGGTATAAACAACCAGTAAAAACTTCTAGATAAGTCTGATTTGAGAGGTCCAATGTCAAATCTCACCCATGCAATCTCCAGCTGCACATCATTCTACTGCTCTTGATCTCTGTTTAAAGACATTTACCCAAACTCCAATTTTCTTTTTTTTATTAATGGAAAAAATTAATAATTAATCAAAAGAGTTCTTCGCTCAATAGAAAAAGATGTTTTAGGCTTTGTTATGCATTATTACAGACTTGTTCTATAAATAAAAAGGGACTAAAAATTCAGAGGTTAGTCTGCCCCGATCTCTTTACTATCCTCATGCTGCGTGGATCATCTTCCCCATAAGCAGCCATATGATGCATGACAGAAATAAAGATGCAGTTGGAAAAGGCAAAGCAGTTTCCCTTTCACAAAGTGAAACTGAATTACATATCCTACAAGTAAGTATGGGGATCCTCGTGCCAGTTTAGGGATTTCATGGCAGGAGCCAGACCTTGCAATGGTTTAGAGCAACCACAACTTTACCAAGAGTGTGCAGTAGAAGCTCTGACACCTGTTCTGAACTCTAGCCCACCTTCTGCAGTGCACAGGAGAGACACATAAGCAAGATGCTGAGGTTACCCAGGTCTCTGTCCAGGCATTAGCAGACTTGGAATTAAATGGGAACAAAGGGAGTAACTGTAAAGCAGAGGAGCTGAACTGCCTGGAATGTTTTTGCCTAGAAAGGTTTTTGGTGAAAAGATATTTTAAAGGACACAGATTTGTAGTTCTCCTCCTTCTTTTTTTTAATCAGTACTTTCCCAATTTTACTCTAAGAAGAAACCACAGCTGAACTGACATTCCCAGAGCTCTGATGCTTCCCAGCCTGTAAACACAAATGGAGCAGACAGTTGTCTGAGGCTTCCAACACCTTTTAATTGCCTCAAGTCTCTCAAGAGCTTTTTCTTTCTCCTTTGTACTCCCTTTTACATTGTCCCCACTTAATCCTCTCTCTTCTCTTTCTTCCTCTGGCTCTGCTTCTTAGCTGACAAGCCCATCCCTATCCATACATCTCCTGTTCCTCTTATTTGGGCGTCTCCTCCTCCAATCTCATCACTAATTCCAGGCTTGCTGCATCACTTTTCTTCCTACACTGGCTTTCTACAGCTTTTACACAGCTTAGTACACAAACCCAGATGAGCACTGTGGCAACCAGGCATGTTAGCTCCTGAATATATCACTTCTACTTGTCTCCATGCATCTTTCCCTTTCATCCTCTTAATAAATTTCTGACAAGCTGTTCATCCCACCCCTCAGCTCCCACACTACATATGGCTGGCAGAACTCAGCTCACTTTAACACTGTGAGTTAGATGTCAAGGTCTGACCACTACAGGATCCCTTTACAGAGAGAACTGACAGGAAGGACCTCTGTCTTTCCCACTGGCTGCAAAGGGAAACGGTTGTGATTCACTGGAATGCCTTTAATTTTCAGATTTCAGTTTTGGGGAAGAGACTGTCACCCAACAAAAATCCTGAATAGCAAACAGAATGGTGATTAGAAAATGTGAAGATTCAAAACAGACTAATTCCACCCTTTTCATGTGCTCAGAAAGCAGCAGAGTCTGCAGAGCAAAGTGCTGGTTGCTCCTTTCGAACTTACAACTATCTAAAGGCAGTTATGAAAGAGGTCATATCACAGGAGGTCAGTAACAGTAGAGGACTGAACATAAACAGCCAGGGGGTTTCTCCCAGTCCTATGTTCATAAAAATATACATCCTCATCCTTAGGGGAAGAACAGTAAAAATATGATTAGGATGTCCCTCTGTAGCTAAAGGGAATAAAAAAAATCTGAAATACTTTGAGCATGAGGGTCTCCCAGCTGGCTTGTTGTAGCTAAGAACACTATAAAAGGCAACATACCATAATGGCTTTGGCATTGAACCCCTGCTGACCTAACTATCTGGATATATCTGACTCTGTCAACAGAATACTTGGGAATATTTTGCTGAGTTTGCTCTCTATTCTTGGACTTTTCTGTCTTTGCTAAGTAAATAAAACCTTTTGTACCATATCTTGTGAAATGGTGAATGCAGTTAACCCTCAATGGCAACAGTCAAGCATAAGCAGTACAGATTTATGTAGAAGTGGGGAGTCCTGATCCCTTTCCAGGTTTCATTCAATATACATGAAGATCTCAAAATGTTCTTTGAAGTAGATTGTGGTATACAAATCAGCAGGACTGTTACAGCTACAAAATTTCAACAGATTAGCTGGATACAAATCTCACAATGGAAAACTTTTAGTTTTGGCACCAACTATCAAATCACCAGAGGAGATTGAGGCCAAACATGAGAGATAATAATCTTCAAATAATCCTGGCACAAAAATGCTGACTGTTGCTTGCTTAAAGTGGCTTTTCAGAAAAAAAGAACAAGTCCATGGAGTAAAGCTCCTACCTGGTCTAGACAGTTGCTCCGTAGGTAGCGCAGGGCTTGCTGTATGCTCTGGGGAAGAGGCTGACCTGTTCTCTGGACGTGAACTATCAGGGGCACACCAAAGACATTCTTGTCCTTGTAGTCAGGGACTTTCATCCTCTTCATGAACTTTGGCACAGACCTGAAAATTAACATGAACAGGCTGCATGAAAAAATCAGAGTATTTACACACCTTCTGAATAACACTACTGACAGAAATTGGTAACCGGGGCCTTTTTAAATAAAGATGGTGAAATAATATTTAATGCACAATACACAGACACTTGACAATTTTCATAATTGATTAATTTCTTAATGTCTATAAGTGGATGGCCTCTAAGGTATAGCATAACAATCAGCTTTAACAAGAACCTCTTACTACACAGGTGTCATCCAGCTGAAGCCAACAAGGTTTAAAGCATCTTTTAGGGACTCACAAGAATGGCAGAGCAAACCGGAGTGGAGAGGGTATCTGAGGGAAAAGGAGGTTCTAACATGCTGATGATCTTTGATCTTCTACCAGTTACATGATTTAGTATTTCTATTGATAAAATTTTACAATAAGAAATGATGGTGGGAAATCCCTATGTGTCAGATTCCTCCCTTGGGTTATATGATTTATTCTAGTTAAGTAACTTAAGTGAAAGCTGGTGAGCTTGCTTTCTTCAAAAAATTGTGATGAAAACAAGAACCAACTGGATTCCCTTTTAGGGAGTCATGACTGCCATGGAATTAAAAAAAAAAAAAGAATATGACCTGAATGTGACTAAGAGTTGTGTCATCTGTGTGGGAAGAAGTAAAAACTCATTTTAAATTACCTACTGAAGAAGTACAGTGCGTAACTCTACAGCTATTTACAGTGCCTCTCTTAAAAATCCTTAGAGACTGATTATAAAAACTGAAGAAATATCTTTCAGGATGAAAATCTTGTACAAACAGTAGCTCCTAGAATTTGCTGTATTCTAGTCTGCTTAATTGAAGTTGGGTAAGGTGAGATTAGTTTCAGTGCAGATGCCAGCTAGCCACAGGGAATGCTCCAAAGGAGAGCAGTGAAATGGGGATTAATTTTACTGAATTTAGTTATCTTACAGAGATTTAGAAAGAATCAGCTGTCTGGGCTACCTCTATACCCACTCTAGAGAGAGACACCTCTGGAAGGTGATCCAAACCTCAGCCTTGGATATAATGGGCTGCTTTGGGGTTGCCTGTCTCTTTCCTCTGACCACAAACAGCCAACCTGACTTTCTGAGATTAGATTTATAACAGATTACTCTTTTAACTTTTCCTAATGACTGATGTCAGTGAGGTGAATCTCACATGTATCAATTGTATCTATTTTTTCCATTTCTAAGGGAAAACTTGACTTAACGTAGCTCACAGATGAATTTAGTGGGATTTTGGGGAGGTCCTTTCAGCATGAAAATCACAATATAAATATCAAGTCATACTGTATCTGGACTGGGTGCCTCAGTGTATTAGGGAAAGATTCTGTCATTGTTTTGGTTATTTCTCAGATACTTTCAAACTCTTATCCATGCCCATTTCCATTTCTGGTGTACCTCAATCTGGGGGGCCCACCAGGGTTTGTGTACCACAAAACATGCAGGTTTCTGTAGAGAAGGAGCCACATAGTGAGCATTCACATCCATGTGTGCTTCCCTCCTCTGCCTGAGTGACCAGGTAGCTGTCACAGCTGCCAGGGCTGCCAGCTCCCTCTAATACAGGTCGAGGCCTAGGCCAAAGCCTGCATCTTTGATTTCTAGAGAAAAGCCCCATAACTATTCTAACCCTTCTTTTAAAGCACAAACAAAGCAATATCAAACACATGAAGCAGCAGCTGTTTCTTTTTGAATCACCAAATGAATACTGGGTAGGACTTACTGTAAACTTTCCTACTTTATAGTCACTCTCTCCTATTCCTGTTTATTTTTCTGGAACTGTAGCATTGTTCAAAAGGCCAGGGTTGTCTCTCTGTTAAAGCACAGGAATGACGCCAGATTTCCAGGATCTATTTCTCACTTTGCCAACAAGCCATGAGGCAGCAATGGATTAAAAGGGACAGTTTCAAATCCCACACTTGAAGTCATTGGTTCCTTCTAATTCCATTTATTTACCGACAGAATAACAGAATCAGGAGAAGCTATTTTCTTCTAAAAAGTCTCCTTCCAGTTAGCAGTGGTACTCACCAGGTCCAGCCATGTTTGTTTGACATGGAGTACTTTTCCATGATGGCAGTGAGACGAAGCAGAGAGAATTTTTGCAGTAGATTCAGCTGGGCTGCTGACTGGTTGCTGATGTGAAGTGATGCAATGGAGCGGCTCAGGCGATGAGAGATTTGGAAACTCTGCCATCGTAATTGCCTTTAGCAAAAGAAACGATAGAAAAGTCAGAGAACTGCTTTGGTTGGGCAGAAAAGATGGTGTACTGTGAGATAGGGCTGGGCAATGTATAAAACATACATAAACACACATGTACATGATGGCTTGTGTTGTGAAAAGAAAGAAAATTTACCTTGGAGATAAATACAACAATTTAGTCCATCTCTTTTAATTTCAGAAATGCCCAAGTTTTGTTGTTTTAACATTAGAATCTCAAGTAGGTGTGGGTCCTGTCCATATACTTGGGGAAGCAGTGCTGCCTGCTATGGTCTTTAGCCCACACACTTCCAACAGGATGTGGGAGATTCAGAGACAAATGTTCTTTGCCTGACTCAGAACTGGTGTTTGATGCCTAGTGCCTCATCTCCCAGAGGACTGACCTGACCACGAGGTATTTGGAGATGAGGTTCTACAAACAGCTCTGTTATTAAATGCTGAAGGACTTTTTTGAAAAAGGATTAAACCCTGTGTCTCCTTAGCTAGAGCTAAAACCACCAAGCTATTGAACAATTCACATCTTTTTACTCCAATGCACTTTCTCTGTATACTAGATTTATCAGAAAAAAACCCCTAATTTTATTTTCTTATTTCACTAAATGTAAGTTCTGACTCAAATCCTAAAAACTTTGTCACTGCTCATTTACTCAATAGTTTCCTCCAGTCCACTTTCACTTCTGTGGTGGTGGTGAGCAAGCACAGGCAGCAGTAAACCATGGCATGGCAGAGTCCTCTGTGAGGGTGTGACAAGACTGACAGCAGATCAGAAAATACCAGTATTATCAGAAATACCAGTATCAGAAAATACTAGGTATGTTCTCCCTGCTTTGGCACTTTCAAAGCCACCCAACATGCAACAGTTTAGACCCACAAAAGCTTTTGCCCAGGACCATTGGTACTTGGCTCAACAGGAGCTCATCACTCTGACTTAAAACATGTCTGTAAACTATCAACAGAATTCCACTTTCACTTTATTAAGAAGTCACTCATTCACCATCATTTTATCCCACCCATGTAAGGGGCTGGGGCAGCTTAGGGAGGTTCTCTTTGAGCACAAAGGTGCACATTTTTAAAGCAGATCAGTGCATTAAAAAAGTGCATAAAGCTACGGATTCATAAAGACCTGGGTGTATAACTTAGAAGACAAATTAAAAATGCATCCTACAACATATACAGGGTATATGTAATCAATGGATCAAGGGACAAAAAAATGCCTTAGTTTGCTCCATTAAACCAATTCTGCATTGATTCCATGTAAAAATCTCCACAGCAGGATGTCCTTTCCCGGAAAATCGCACCGTTCCCTAGGAAGTCCCCATCTCCATACAGGATGAACACTACTGTAATGGTACCCTGGGCCTTCTGACTCCCAAGCTGAGAACCTCTTCTTCATTATATTGTATTTCACAGTCTGTGGATTTGTATACAAAATTTTGCTACTTACCTGCTTGGCCTTGTGAGCGATGCTCCCACCCCAGAGTCCCTCCTGTCCCTAACACCAGTCGCTTCAGATTCATTCAGGGATGTTCCATCTCTGTCCATGTCGCTCGGGGTGGTCCGGCCATCAGACACAGAGTTTCCTTCAAAATCAAGAGTGATCTGTGTAGGCGACTGGAAAGGCAATGATGGGGATTCCCTGACTGACACGTCACCAACCGGCAGACCTGGCAACACCTTCTTTGACCAGCCATCTACCACCTCCTGCAGTCCATTGACATGTTGCAAAATGTCATCTAACTGAGGAAAAAGGACATCCTTCTCTATGTCCAGGAGGTCCCCAGTACTAGCATACAAGTGGGAACCTGGTACATTGTCATAAATACTAATTCTGCTCTCTTTAGGACAGCAAGCCATCAGGCCAGATTCCTTTGGAGTAGAGCAGTTCTGCTTTCCCAAAGAGATGCTGCCTGTCCTCCAGTTTACACTGTTACTGTTGTCTGTAGGTGAGAGGCTTTCAATGGAAAGTGCCTTTGGGAAGGTCCCTGGTTTGTGATCCTTGGGAATGTGCACAACCAAGTTCTCTTGGGAATGAAATTCGTTTTTGCGGTTTTGGTCCACCACTTGCCGTAAGGCTGTTCCTGCCAGAACATCCAGGTCCTCCAGGTACATCCCACCTCTCTTGTTTGCTTCATGGCATTTGCGTTCCTTCAAACACGGCGTGCTCACCCCACTGCTGCTGTTTTCGGACTGGCTGCTGTCACTGCTGGATTTAGCAGAAGAGGGAAGCCCTCTTTTGACTGAATCTTGCCCCAAATTCTGGAGATCGCCATTGACTATCTGTACACAGTGCATGTCTTTCAAGGATTTTGGCTCAAACTGGAGAACTGGTCCACTGATCTCTAAAGGACCTGTTCTTCCCGAGCCTTTTAGCTTTCCATGCACGGCTTTTGCTTTCAGCGTCTCCATGCGTTTTAGAAAGGTTTTCGCTCTGGCTCGTGTTGGATTTTCATTCTTCAGGCCGTCCTTGGGGAATGGGGCGGTGTTTATTGCAGCGGAGTCCTGCAGCAGGGTGCTCTCCACATCGTGATGGGCAGAGCAGTCACAGGCCTCCCTGGCAGCGCTGGTGGTGCCAGACTGGCTCCTGCTGTCACTGCCCCCACTGCTCTCGCTGTGAATCGATGAGAGCTCAGGCTCGCTCAGATCTGTAAGGACGCTCTCACTGCTTGTCGTGTTTTTCATTTTAATGTCCCCAGAAGAGCCATGTCTGTCAGACCGGTGAAGCAGAGCGTCAATGTCGTCCACCCGAGACCATCGTTTGCTGGTTCTTTGGAAAGTCCATTTATTACTGATAGCACAGAGATCTTCTTCATCTGAATCTTCACTCTGGAAAAAAAGCAAGTGGCACATGTTAAAATTGTGTGCTTTAACTTGATATTCGAATTAATGAGATTGGGCTGCTCCAGGTGAGCAACAGGCAACAAAGTCTCTCTGAGCCAAGTTTATGGAAGGCTGGTCATCAGTCCTTTCATAACACCCTCTTTCATTCAATTGTAAAGACTGCAAATATCTTATCAAAAAAGGAATAAAAGCCTGCTCCATGTTAGGAGTCCCACTGATACCTCTTGGCTTCCATGGACTGCCTGTGCACTGAGTTGTGTAGGGCTGATGCTCACAGTGACTGTTTAGAAAAAAAACATTTTGAAAGGCCAAAGTAAAAGAATCCTGATTTGCAGGGATGGTGTTAAGATACACATGGTAAAGACAGGGAAGTGGCTGCGTACTACAGCAATGTGAGCTATTTAAAAATCCAAGACAGCAAATATCTGGTGCTGCACGTAGGTTTGCAGTGAGAACTAAATAAACATCTATAAACTTCATGGGCCAGATGCATCTAACAAGATTTATGTTTCAGGACTATAACGACAGATAAATAATCATGATGCTTAAAAAACAATAAAAAATATTTGGCAGTATTGCTTAGGGTGTGTCTGAGTGCAGGCAAAGGAAAGCAGAGAAGGCAGCCATGGAGGTGTGGGCAGGAGGAGCAGCCAGGCTCAGGCTGGAATGGGGCAGCATCTGCAGCTGAGGTGGGAAACCACTGTCCTACAGTGGGAAACCACTGTCTTCACTGCTGTCATCAGTAGAGGCACCCCAAACTTGATGACCTGCAGCCTGCCCCACTGTCTATGGCTTCCTTCAACCTCTTCCAAGGCAGCAGCACCCCACAGCCCTTTCTGGTCTCATTATGTTTAGGTAGCTCCAGGAGCTACTCTGCAATGCAGAAAACGTGTGCCTTGAAAAAGAATTTAGATAAAAACCTTCACCCTATGACATTTTTCTCATCCGTTTGCTCAAACAAAAAAGATACATCTTCAGCATGAAGCCCATGGTTGCTAATGAGTACCCTTTTCCTGACTTTGAACTGGACTTACACTGCATTATTCTTGTGCATTTGTTTTAAAGCAGAACAAACTAACTTCACCTACATGACATTCAAACAGCTCTTCACATTCTTGGAAGCAGTATGAAGGCAGTAAAATATGACAGGCTGTCAGACTAAAATGAGGTGCTAAACCAGAAAGACTATTTTGGGACTGGAAAAATTCTCATTTGAAAAGTCTATTATTAGAAGTATTTTTATATGAAGTTTTGATGGTAAAGTTATCTCTGATCTTTGACTAGATCTTTACTGGCCTGTCTAATTGAAAAATGTAAACCAAATTTTACAAGAGCACCCAAAACCTTAAATAACATGAAACCTCAAAAGCTAGAGATTGGGATCAGTAGCATGCCAGGTCTCACTGATGCCATAAACTTTTTCCAGTTTATCACTCCAAGTCAGCCAGATGTTTTAGATTCTGTCCAAACCATAAAATAAAATATAGCTGTGAAATTTTGGGTTTAGGCATTCCTCTTTTTTTTGTTAACTTTGAGGTGTGCAGTGTTCCTGTGAGTTTACAGAAATGAATAGAGATCCTCATTCTGTGGCTTGTTAAAGAGAAAAATTGAGCACCTAGTGAAATATGAGGGAAGGGGCTAGAAAAGGCTAATACTGCTTTGGCCATTTTGTCTGCAGTAAAGAAATTGCACATCAGACAGTTCTACCTTTGTTTTAACTCCACAGCTTGCTGTATGCATATATGGACCAAAGGACTGCATAGTCTCAGGAACTTACAAATCCATTTAGTGTGGTCTTAGTAGTGCCACAAAGTGGATATTTTAAAAACCACAAGGGTACGTACTTTTAAATATTTAGCAGTGGTAATTATATCTACAAAGCATACCACTGCTGAAGCGTTGGTGGCATCAGCCAGCAGGATAAACATATTTTTAAAATTTGTTCTACATTGCAATATGCCAAAGGGACCTTAAAGAAGATTCTTGGCTGACACAAATCCCTGTAGCTGCACTGACATTACTGTATGAGCTGACAGGATTTAGCCTGTATTTTCTACAAGCTGGAATCGATTAAAGTAGCCAAAGTGGTAGAGACATTGCAAATAACACCAAGAAGAGAGCAGAAGACAGAAATAAAAATAAATTCAGTGGTAAATATACTTTAAATCAAAAATTTGTGGAGTTTTTATTTTGTGGGGCATTTTTTTGTGGTTTTGTTTTGTTTGTTTGTTTGAGTTTTTTTTTTTTTTTTTGACAAAGCAGAGATGAACAGAAATGGATATTGGTAGTAAACAAGTTTTGCCTCTAACCACAGAAAAGACAGGATTACATTCTGCCCAAGAATCACTTAGAAAATACTTAGAGGCTTTTCAATGTCAAAATTTGCAGCTCAATTAAATGAAGGCTTAGTTTTGGGTTCTTTTTAATTGATAAAGAAACATGCTTGTGTTTCATCAGAAGCAAAATCAGGCAAATATGAAACGAAATATCTAGATGCTGAGATACTGCCATGGTGACTCACTACAAATTCAGCTGCACTGTGAGTCCTATGACATACTGTGCTTTTCTTTTGATGAAATCAATAGAAATTCTGGAAGCCACAAACATCCTGAATGACCCACTGTTCTTGTCAAATATCTGAGTGTCCTGACAAACGAAACTTTCCAAAAAAAAAAAATGTTGAGAGCACTTAGCCCACCCACGTGTCACCAGCTAGGGGTACAGCAGATCAAGAGAAGGTCTGAAAGCAATGATTCATCTGACACAGGCAGAGCAGACATATTGGAGCAGTGACTGTATATTCTACTGACCTGGGGTGAAATCAAGTGCACTGCTTTGGAGCATATTCAAAAGTCCAGTTAATGCCATTATGTTTGGGAAGATGAGAAGGGACAAAGTTCTTGAGGAGTGATTGGTAACATTTGCCAAAGAGAAAGAGGTTTTGATTCACAGATTTGTCACAGCTGATTTAAAATAGTGCAGCTTTTTGACTGAGGGTGTACTTGCCTGAAATACAGAGGCATGCTAACAAAAGGCAAGTAGTGGATTTATTCGCGGTGGAATTCTGCCACATTTTTCCAGCTGGGGGCAGGAATTCTCATAAATCGACAGCTGCAGAAGGCAGTTAATCCAAAGGCTAATCTCTGTCTGTCCAAATCGCTTACAGACATATTTGCAACACATACATGAGCATTTCTGTTTGCATCTTGATGAAGCCAAGGGAAGACAGCAGCCCACAGTGGGAATGGTCTGGGTGGGAGAGTGGGCAGTAGGGAACGCTCCTGCTGAGCTGTCTTTCACAGGAACCTTGCCTGGCAGCTTGCTTGGCCATATTTTGGTTAATCACTCAAGCGGCTCTGCTAGTCCTGTGCATACCTGTTATGCTGAAGCTCCAAAGCTGGCTGATTTTGCATTTCATTGTTCAGATCACCATAGAGACTATTAGGAAAGGCATTATCCACAGCCAAAGATTTATTTAGTTTGGTGATCACTTTCAGACCCAGTTTCTGTCTTTTACACTTGCATTTACATTTCCTCCTGTCAGCAAGCTTTCCCTCCTTTTCTCTCACCCACATTCTCTTCTACTTTCAGTTGCTCTGTATCTGTGGACTAAAATCTCCTCCAGCTCCTCTTTGTCTACATTTTTCTGTGCTCAGCTTCTCTGTGGCCTTGTGCAGGTATGGACTCAACTAGCTTCTGTACCCTTAAAAGAGTACCAAGTAGTGCCATGTCTCTTCCACCACAAATTAGTGGTCATCTGCAAGGAGAGCAGCTGAGGACTTCAGTCCATTCAGAACAGGGAGGAGTGGCAGCAAAAAATTAATGAAAAACAAACATAACAAAAAAAAAAAAAAATCCTCCCTTTTTAATACAACATAAAACCCAAGACAAAAAAACCCCAAAACCATACACAGTGAAGACCCTGCAGCTCTAGGGAATGGACAAAATAGAAGCCTAAGAAGCTAGTACACAAAGGAAAAAGCAGATATGTGCCAAAGTGGGATATCTGGACATTAAAACCATCCTCTGTTCAAGTTCCCTCAAACACTGAATAGAGTATGATGAGACTGAATTTGCAAAGACATCAAAAATTCAGCTCTTGGAGTCAGTTTTTAAAAAGCACTAGAAAAACACTCTAGGAAGGAAAAACAGGAACCAAGATTTTTCAGAGTTGACAACTAGCATTGTACAACACTCAAGGACTTTGGGGAATTTGTGACCAGAAAACCAAACATTCAACTGTTAATGCTGGGCATGTTACAAAACTCAAAATCAACAGGCTGTTTCTGCAGCCCTCAGTGAAACCCTTTATGCTCAGATAATTCCCGTGTTACACAGGAGCTTGTAAGGATGACAGAGTTTATTTGCATATTCTTAACTGGGAAGAAGTCAGTACAAGAAACAAAAAAAAGCTGTTGTTTCATCTGAGCAGCTTCCATTTTTTCTGAGCTGGATTTTCCACTGTGTACTCATACAGCATTGACAAACAAGCCAGTCTAATGAAGCTTTACTGTCTTTTCACCCACTAACTTTAATTGCACACATGTAAAGTTTAAGTACTGTGTGAGCCCTTCCAACACACGTAGTATTTACTCACATTTTCTATTCTATTCATGATTTCAAAATTCAGCAATTCACATTATTATGCCTCCAGATAATGCTGACGCGCAAGTTCAAAGTAAAATAAACTTAACTTACTTTTAAGAGCATTTTACTAGATTAGAGGCTAGATTGGGGTGGTCTTATCACAAAAGCCAGGGTATATTTGATGAAGTTCCCTTACCTTTTTTCTTTGGAAGTTCACATCGAGTTTCATTGAGGCGCACTTGTTCAGTGTGTTCAGTCGTCTACAGGGCAAAGCAAATTCAAAAGATTAGCAGCCTCTGACTAAAGGGCATGATTTTTTGCAAGTTCAAAACATGCTCTCTTATCTTACTGTAGGGTGCCAACCACATATAACAGCTTCAGAAAGGATAGTGGTCATCTATTCCAGCTACATGACCACTGCATCAAAGGGGACCCTTAGTTTCACTTTACTTGACAGCCAGGTTTGATAGATTGCTTTTTAAATTCATAGACATTTCCATACTTAGCACAGGAAGCAACTCTAAACAAACACCTGTGATAGCTGGGGAAATGACAAGAGAAGGAGGCGAGTTGCCTTATGCAAAGGCATCAAAAATGATTGTAACGCAAGTGGTCTAAAATGGGAATTTCAAAGCACTAGTGAAAGACCAAACAAAAAACCAGCTGCAGTTCCTCACTTCTGACAGTTGGTACTTCTTTAAAAAAGTTGACATAAAGAACTTCTAGCTGTTACTTAAAAGTTTCTCCAAAACCAAAAGTTTCTTTTCTCCTATCTGTGGATCTTACACACAGGTTAACACACCAAACATGTAAAAAATCGAACATTTTTAAATAAATATTTTTAGCTATTTTTGACCATGTTCATACTGATGTTACCAGAGTCTCTGTAAGGCTTCTGCTCCTTAAATCCAAGGCTATCCTGTGATGACAGTGAGATGAAATGACAATCTGTGTGTGTGTGTGTGTGTGTATGTGTCTTTGTGCAAGGACAGCCAGAGGACAAGTAAACATGCTCTTTCAATAGAGAACCCCCTGTGGTAATGATAATTGATTTGGGTTTATTTATACTCAAAGATCCTGATCCATGAAACCATCCAAAAGCAGAGGCTGAAAGTTAAATATGTTCAACTTTGAAAATTTTCCATGTCTAGGACTGAATTTCAAAATAAAGGGAGGCAGAGAGAGAGAGCTACATGCCCACAGCACTCCTCTGTTGGCTGCTTGCATCTCCTGTGTCTTTATAGCAAGACCTGTTTCTGTTGCTTTTGGGTTGCAGGGCCTCCAATTTCCAGAACTTAACATTTGAAATGCATGTGATAAGTTACAAGGACACATGAAAAAAGTATCAGATCAATGATATAATCTCTCACATAACATAAGAAGATTATGGCATTAACATATTACTCTGCAGAACTTCTAATATTAGCATACCTTTCAGATTGCTACCACTAACCAAGAACTGACCCATCAAATGTGGATCTTCCTTAAAAAAAAATTCCCTCTGAAAATATCACCTACTCATTTGTAGATCAAATATTCCTCCCTAAATCAAGCCAATAAATCTGTTATGTCGCATCAGAAAAGTCCTGTGCTCATGGTATTAATTTGGGTTTAATGTATGCACAAGCACACCCTGCATGCATGATAGCAATGTTGAAATAAATTCCAGGGTTTGTGGCTGTGTAGCTATATCTGCAGCCTTCTGCCCACAAATCTTCTTCTGGGATTACACCTATTATTGCAAAACTCTTTTGCCCAAACACAGAATTTCTCAACCCGAAGTAGCATTTTCTTGGGGCCCTGCGGCTGAATAATGTTCAGTGTTTCATTCGAGCACAAAATGTTTAAATGTGTGTATCGATATCAATTCCAAGTATGCAGAGGCACATTTTCAAAGTACTCCAGCCCAGCTTTCTATCTTTGGGGACAGCTTCCTCTTAGTGCTGAATATTGGCTAATACTGGAGTTCCTGCACCTCTTTGTCAGCTGGCCTTTGCTGAAGGGAAAAGTCTAGCTACATTTCCACACTAGCTCCACCAAAACCAAAACTACTTTTTACTGGGCGCCAGGGACTTCAACCCCAGGTTTTAAATTCACCCCTCTGCAAAACATTGTTATGTTTTCTGGGGCTCTTCCAGGGCTGTAGAAAGATTTGCCAGGGAAATTACAGAACTAATGATCATATTTGTGAGTTTGTCTGGTACTAACAGCTCAAATCAAAATCAGTCTTTTTCAGCTTCTTTCGCCTTGTTCATGTGCCAGCGGTGACAGAAAGTTTTTTTCATTAGTTTAAAGTTTTCAGATGACTGACAGTCAACTCCTCAACAAGTTATTCGAAAATAAAAAAACCCCAGAAGTTTCTGGCTACAAAGGCTGTCACCAATGTTCCAGCTGAAGTGAGAGGAGCACTGCACTTTTATGCCACTGCTTAAAAAACATGGGAAAAGAATGCTGTTTGTAATGTTAACAAAACACAAAGTCTGGAATTGAGAAAAGGCAGGGAAAAACACATTAAATAAACACAAGAGAGATGGCTATATAAAACCCAAATAATCTAGGATGCATTTGAAAGTATCTGTAAATTTCTGCATTGTTCAGGGAAAGACTGGAAAACATGTATTACAGCATTTCAGTGATGTTAATTTTATTTTCTCCAGAGCATCAAAGGTGGCTTAAGACTTTGAAATAATTCTTAAAAAGCCAGCAGTGATATTCAGGTGCCCAAACAGATGTTTCTGGTGCTATTTTAGATCCCCTGGAGTACCAAGCCTGGCCTTCAGCTGCTGCAGGTACCTCTGTCCAGCCAACACATGGAGAAGTCTGGGCTCTCTGAGGAGATTTAAGACGGCCATAGACACAAGTCCTTAGGGCTCTGAATCCCAACCCCAGTGCTGTAGTTGTTAACTCTTATGATCGAAGTTTTTCAGAAGCAGGAAATCTCCAGCTTTTGCATTCTTTACAGCACTGAGCAGTGTTTACAAATAAATACAAGCTTGTAGCTATGCAGGCTCAGCCAGCTGGAAAACCTTGTGGGGGACCTGTTGTCCTGCTTTAGGAGCAATCCAAGTAAGAGGGAGCAATCCAAGTGATAGGGAGACAGCTCTGAAGTGAGTTTGAGTTCCAGGTGGATCTCTGGACCTGTTCTGCAGCAGCTTTCAAGCAAGTGCTTTAGAATGCAGCCAGGGCCACAGGAGAGGCATCATGGGGAGGACAAGCATGGACAGTACAGTGTCTCCTGCATCAGCAGATCCACAAATGCCCTCTCTTATGGATTTTGTCCAGGAAAAAACACTCTGTTGTTCTGTAAATGCCTCTCTGAGGGAACCACAACATTATTTGTTTGTTTTATTGTTATTCCTAGCCAAGTCTGTGGCTGGCTTCTTCTGGTGCTGTCAGCTTTGGGAAGAGGACATCAAGCTCTTAATACTGGGCTTTGCTGAGGTCTTAACACTGAGTAAGACTCCTCCCAGCACCATTAGGGCTGGTGTGCAAGGCTGGCACTGGCATGTCCCTGCCTTACCAGTTTTGTGCATAAAGAGAATATTCTGTTTTCCAGTCCTATAACCTTTTTATCATGGCTGCCACTGAGAGAGTCACCTTGTAGGCTCCAGGCTCACATGAGATGAGTAATCTCTCCTGGAAGTCAGTGGGAGCCATTCTGCTGCCTCCAGAGCAGGGCTTTCTGTCTTGCATGGGGAGAGTCAGGCTTATCCCCTACCAGCACCTAGAGAAGATAACCCAGCAGGTGGTACTGACTGTACACCCATCATTTCAGAACTCTGGTGGGAGGATGTCCCATCCCATACGGCAACCTTCCCTTTGTTTATAATCTGTCTAAGAGATAACAGCTATGGAAAAATAAAATGCTAAGGAAAAAAAGACTTCTTGGCACAGCTCAAATTTTAAGAGCTTGATTTGGGGAACTATGTATCAGACTGTGATATACTTGTTCTTCATGTTCTTAGTCACTGTATTTACGTGAATACAAAAAGTACAACATGGCTTGGCTTCTCCTTCTCACCCTCTTATCACAGCAGCCACAAGAGTTCCCAGAGCAGAGTTGGTTGCTGCTATTTTGGACGTGACACAGCTATAAAATTTTCATGCTCAATTATTGTTTTGGCAGGATGACAGCGTTTGCCTGCAGATTGCCTGGCAATTCTCTATTGTTCATTACTCAATAAAATCTGAGAGGAATCTCTTGATAGATACGCCTCTAACCCAAAGGCCTCAAATTTGGTTTTTACTCTGCCAAATTTTCAAATTATATTGTAAACAGCAGGAATGTTAGAGTATCTCAAAAAGGTCACTGAAATCTTCTACAACAGGGAGTCTTAGACTTTCTGACAAAAATACCACCAGCTGCCTTAAAATAGGTTCTTCCTCATTTATGCCTCACGTTGTCTGGTACACTTCAATGCCATAAGAAAACTGATTATAAAATGAGATTGAGAGTCTGATTTCAACTCACAAGAGCAGAGAAATTCAGTGTTTATGCTATTACTATTCAGAGCTAAAACTGCTCAAACTGATTATCCATGCTGGCATTTCAGCTTTAAAATTATCTTCCAAAAAGCAATGAGAAGCCCATTTTGTTCAGCACTATGTGCTGAATGCACTATTAGTCAGTATGATGGCTTGGTCACGCATAGCTGTAAGGGCAGCTTTGAATGTTAGAAGAATGGAAGTTTGACTGCCAACCTGGGAATCTGCTCACAGAAATAATAACCAGCCTTTTTCAACTTTCTCTTTCCTCAAAGTGCATCACAGACTGCAGCTCTCATGTGGTACACTGCTGTGCACCTTGCAGTAACACCATTGCAGAGCAAAGGAAGGGCAGAGAACTGCCCACAGTGCTCAGCTGAGCTGTGAGGATTTCCAATGCACTGGAAAACTTGGAAGATGCAGGTTTGATAGCTCATAGAGTAACAAAGCTGGAACTGGGGGCAGCAGTTGACACTATTCACTGTTTCTGATGAATCTTGGCATTTGGTACAATGGCTTTTTATGGCTTGCTTTCAGCAAAGGGTTTGAAGCTGCTGAGTTACATCCAATTAAATGCCTGCAATCCGAAAACATAACCTGTACATAATACTTGTATTTCTAATATTATGAGGAGCTATTCCTTCTTAAGGTCTAAGCTGTTTAAAAACTCCCAACAAAAAGTCAAATAAAAAAGTGTTGTCTTCTGAACAAAATAATTACAGAAGAAGTAGTTAGAGAGTAATAAACCCATTTATCTTTAAAGTGTGGAAATATCTGTGTCTATGCTTTTTTCTATAGGTCTCATCATTTTCCCTTGGTTTAGGCTAATGTAAAGTATTTTTTTCCCATGAGTGCATCTATCTAGCTGCTAGTTAATTTTCCAAACCCTCATGTTTTAATAAAAGAGAAAAACCCCCAATCCAACCAAGTCTCTAACTTATCAGCTTGAAAATAATCCTCATAAATATATCAACATAGTAACTGTAGGTGTATCTGTGAGTCTACAGAGAGGCTGGAAGAGCAAGACATAAGCTGTTCCCATTTTTAGCTGTGTAGGTGTCGGATGCCTGGTGACCATGACTGCAGCAACACCATTGCAAATTACTTCAGAGAAGAATGATTAGGGAGCATCACAGAGCTATGAAATTACTGTATCTCACTGTTTTCTCTCACAAGAAAGGGGCAGGAACAGACATCTTTCTTGCATTTTTAATGGTCCTTCAATTTTGTGGTAAAGGGCAGAGGGGAAGAGATCTCAATCTCCTATCTCTATCACTTTCCAGTTCCCAAACTGCAGCAAAGCATGTCTCCCATTATGCCAGAATGAAGCAGGGGGATGTACAAATGTATGGGGAAGAAGGTATCTCCCCCAGAGCAATCTCTCTCAGCAAGCAGCACAGAACAGCAGTGGATCAAGTCTGCAATTAATTCTGTTCTCAGGCATCTGTGAGAGAGATCACTGGAGAATCCAAGTCTTTCCTACTGATTTACCTTCAGACACAAACGCTATTACATAGAGACAGAGACTATTCTGTTCCCCACAGCCATAATAGACAGCATGAGAAGCAACTTGCAGCAGGGGAATTTTGGAAAAACAATCTGACAGCTATGTCCAGAAACTACCTGGATCTGCCAAGAAGAGGGGCATAGTCTGGGATGGAGAGGTGGACTATATGAAGTCTCTATCACCCCTATTTATGTTGTTTCTCAGAAACCTTTTCTGCATTCTTCCACCACAAACTCATTAATCCTTACAATGTACAGTATCTGCTGTAGGAACAGCATCTCCTAAAGCCATCTCTGCTGATTTTAGCCACAGTTGCAGAAGGGGAAATAGAGTCTTGTCCAATTATCTTGGTGTTGTGAAAGTTTCCATAACATGTAATGAAGCCTGCTTGGTTAAGGGACAGATGCTCCTTTGTCCTGACTTGAAGAGGAGAGAAGCAGAACCAGCTTGAGCTGAACACAGGGAAAGAAGAGGGGAACAATGTCTCTGCAATGTGGTTTTGCAAAACTGCCACAGAATTGCTGTGTCTTGAGTCCTGGGGGACAGGACTTGGGCAATGCAGTATGGTATATTCATCACAGAGTACAAAAAGCAAGATAAACAGCAAACACAGGACATCTGGGAGGGCCAAAGCACTGATCAGTTGTAGCATCTGTACTACTGGGGGTCTGGTCCCACTTCTGTTACTGGTGCCAAATGAGAGTACCAAGAGAATCACAGCAGCATTAAAACCATGCCTGCTGCCAGAGAAAAGGGCTTGCTGAATTCTCTGCAATGAAGTTTCATCATTTTTTTCCTGGACTTAGACATAAGAGTTATTAATGTGAGACTCAAATGTGACTCTTATTTATTCAGGGTTTGCTTGCACTACTGCTAGTTCTTAAAAAGCATCTGTTTCAAATCCATTGGATTTGGGGCTTCTCAAATTATGTGATGCTTTCTGTGATGTAGTGGGTGTCCTACTGCAGCATCTTCTGTAAGAGAAATTAACTCAGGATGGTGGCATTATAGATCTCATCACTTAATGCACCTGGACAAGCACACACCTCAACTGCTGCTATGCCAACAGTCAAAAATCATCTCATGCTTTTATATTATCAGAAAAGAAACCTGGAGTGTTATTTACCTGCAAAGAGGTTCTACAAGGTCCTTGTCAAGAAAATCATGATCTTTCTTTACTGCAGCAATGTCAATGGGAAACTGGGAGTCTGTAAAAGGAGACACATTATTAAGATGACCACTTGCTACTCAAGTGAAAATACGTTGTCTACATCTAAACTGCTTTGCATGTGCTTGGTCACTGAAATCTAGTATGACCAGTTTCTCTCCGCTCTGGTTCCCTTCCAGCTGTATCTGTGACCCTTTCTTACACCATTCTGGTTTTTTTTTCTGTTAAAGGTATAGCTGAATGTCCACTGCATTGGAGTGACAGCAGAATCATTTCATTTTGGCTTTAAAAAATACTCAACTGTTAGCTGTTCATTTTAGCACCTTGCACAAATGGATGAGATCAGGGAATTACCACCACACTTATTTTACATGAGTAACAAGGTTTTCCCTTCTCATTACAGTGGCTTAATGAGTTATTTGCTAGACAGACTTTGCCAAAGCCCCAGAAATGTGCCTGTTGTTTTTAAAACAGATCCAAATAACAATGATTTCAGACAGAGGGTTACTCAAATAACAGACAAAAAAAACCCCTCAAACTGAATTATAATCCCCAATATTAGCTAAAAAGCCAGAATAGTATGCTGGAAGCTGACATTTGCAATGAAAAGTGACACAGCTCTGTAACTGTGGGATGGGTTCCAGTGCTGTGGCAGCTCTCCAGACTGCTCTGCCATGCTTAGGTACCTCAGCAGGACACTGGGACACAGGAACTTCAGCTAGCATTTTCAGACACTACTGCTCACACTGACATAATAGATGCCTGTGAAAACACCTTGTTTTTGGAGACATAGTCTGTCTAGAGCACATATTGACTGCATGGGAACTGTTGGAGCCCAGCACAGGTTGTTTTTTGGAGAGAACATCCTTTTGAGTTAAGCAGGCAGCAGGTGTTCCTTTCTCTGGAGGAGTCACTATGTGACATAATCTGAATACAAGGCAGACACAAAAGTACTGCTGGCTACCCAGGGACTGTGCTAGATTCTATTTGTGTCAGTTTTGGTCTGGCAGGCTTATTAGTCTTAGTTCCTTGCTGGATTTAACAGAGCCTGCCTGCCTCCTGTGGACCACCTGAGCATCTCTGAATGGTGCTCCTGCCCCCAGGCACCTGAGCTGCCCAACAGGACCCAGCACCTGGGCCCTGATGGAGCTCAGCTGGCCATGGGGGTGTCCTCAGCATCCCACTCCCTGCCATCCTCAGCCCCACACGAGGGGAGGGGTGGTGTCCGAACTGATTCCCTGCAGACTTGGCTCTGAGCCATGAGGCTCCTTGGGCCTTGTTCCATGAGTGGATCTGTGCTGCCTCCAGACTCATGCTGACCCTGGAGGGGGTCCAGAGATGTTTGGCAGAGCTGCCTTTTGGCTAGTAAGCCCAAGTGGCCTGAGCTGGGTGTCTCTGGCAGGGATAACATGCACTTTGGGAAAAATGAGACTCAGCCACAGTTTCCCTCTCAGCAGTGAGCTGGGAAGAGCAGGAAAAACCCAGCTCCAGTCCCCAAACTACTATGGAACACAGCAGCAGTGCAACCAAGCCCTGCCCTTGGGGACACTGCTTCCCTGGGCATGAACTTAGCTCCTAGGAAGGGGACACCACCATTTGCACTGAGTTAGCACTGAACTGTCAGCTTTTCTTACTTTGCAAATGTGAAGTGCAACTCAGATTATTCACTTTTGGTAACTCTGCAGAGTTTTCAGTCTTTCAGCATGATCGAAATTTTCAATAATTTCTAGTGTCTTTATTTCAGGCACATTTCAGAAAGTTTTTAGAAAATAAACTCATGTTTTTAGATATTTTGTAGTCATTTTTTTTAACCTTTGAGTTTTACACAAGCTATGTCCCCCCACTGTTTTTTTTAAACTTCCCATGGTTACAAGGGTAAGAATCTTACTTTTCTTCATGCACTGGTATGACTCCAGCAGCTGAAGCTTTGTGAAGCATCCAGCCATGGCCATAACTCAGTCAAATGTGCAGTTGGCTGACTGCAAGCTCTCCTGGCGAGGGCCCAGTGCACTTTCAGAACCGCACAAAGAGGAGAAAGACCAACTTACCCTCATAGAACTGAGCATATTGGGGAAATCCAGCTGCACGTAACCAGTCACACGCTTCCTTTGCTTCGATTTCTGAGCAAAAAGAGGAAAGAGAAAACAGTTCACACTTTGTTATTTTGAATTAGAAGTTCTTTCAATTGCAAAGAAATAAAGAAATTTGATAGGATCTATTTGCTGTTACAGTACTGTCATCACTCTGAATCACACTTTATAGCATCAGAAGAGAGTCCCTCTGAGAAACCTGCCTGTCTCCACAGGACCCTGGGGTGCACAAAGCCACTTGGTGGCTGGGACCAAGTGTTAACCATCTCCTTGCAGCAGAAGTTGTTCAGCCAGGTTTGTGGCTCTGTGATCTACCCTCCCCCAAGGGTAAGTTGCTGGCAAGAGGCGAAGGTGGAGCAGGGTGAAAATGGGGTGACAGGGAGCAGCACTGCGTTCTTTCCTGTTCTGACATTTCTTGAGGAGCAGAATGCCATATGAAATCCATGGAAAGCACTGCCAGGAAAACCCCAGTGCAGCTGTCATGATACTGAAGGGACAATTGCAGGGGCATCTCTATTCTTACCAAGCTCCAGGGGCTCACATTCTGGAAAGCAGCGTGCTGGGTCCAGCTCTGCCCAGCACCTGCACTGCCTGCATGTGCAGCTGCTCCTGGACCAGCTGGGGGAACAACTGAAAGCTCATCCACACAAATGTGGGGTTCAGAGGAAACCTGGGAAACATCTCTTTGCTGTCCAAACCTAGATCAGGATCTACCACCTGAACAGTTTTGGTTTACAGGATCAAAGTCAAAGCACATATCTGTACCTCTTACATTTGCAAAATATGAAGAAACAGAGTGGACAGGTGTTAAAGAAAGTAGACATTTTATGTTGCTTATTAATCAACCTCAATGAACCAGTCAAGGGTTTTGGCACATTTGTGGCTGTAAAATCTAGACAGCCATAATAACAAAACCCTAACTATAAAGCAAACAATGGAACTGGAAGAAGAGATCAGGCTCAGTTGCTCTTCTGTATATTTTGCCTTGCATGTGAAAAAAATTCCAGTTGTAAATTAGTTTTCTACTAAAATGCATTTTTATAGGTAAGACATGCTGTTGTGAACTTTTGCCCGTGTAATTCTGTTCAGATCACTCATTATACCCTTAATGACTTTACCCACTGAAGCTCACTATAAAATCTGCTTTGAATATACTCTGCAGTGTGTGACCTGCACACATTTCTGATCCCCCAAAAAATGAATCACACCGGCAAATTTTGTAGCAGAAATCAAATTTCAGAATACAAGGTCTATGTATCAAAAGCTCAATATCCCAAAGACGATTAGACAGCCAGGAACAACTCCACAATGGTCACAATCATTAGCAGTGCTGAAAAGGATTTACCACCAGGTCTTCATTTGCTTTGACATTAGTTCATGTCAAGGCCAAAAAACGGAGTATGAAAGTACATTCAGTTCTTGACACTGCACAAAAGAATAAGCAGCTTACATAAAACGTGGCTCTCACTACAGCACATCTGTGCGCTGAAAGCACATCTCTATTATGTTCCAGTTAGACTATTTCTATTAAATGCTTGGAAAAAAGACAAGTCTTTATACTTTTTTTCTTTTGCTTAATTCAATCTCATGAAACACAGACAAATCAATCCCATTTCAAAATGTATTTTACAACTCAGAACAGCTGTAAGTACATTCTAGCTTCATCTGGCCTGGAAACACAACTGACAGAGGCTGTGGGTGATGGAGAATGCTACCATTTAATGTTCTTATACGCTTATCATATTTCAATGTTTTTTTGCAGTTGGCTGCTCAGAGGAGCTTGCTGAGAAATATTCTTGCAGCCCAAACAAGATCTAAAAAATCTCAGGTTGCAATGGGTGAGTAATTATAGGGAATAAACAAGAAAGTAGATCTCACTCGTCTCCGAGGTTTTGGTTTTAGTTTTTTGTGGTGGTTTTGGTTTGTTTTTTACTTCTTTTTGATGCGGTTGTTTGCAACACACTGTATTCAGTCAAATATAATTGACTGATTAACTTCTGCTTTCAAAACTTTGACTCTATATCCTCCATGAAGGCATTTCTGGGGAGCATTCTCATTTTCTGAACGACTACCTCAGACTTGAGTAAGATTTGCTAATCTTCCAGGATACTGAGTTTCAAGACAAGTTATCAGTTCCCAGTTCCCTCCCATATCTCTCTTTCTGGTCTTATCCAGAGGATAGCAGGAGGACAGAAGTGCACCAGGCTGCTGGCACAGCCCAAAGCATGACTTTACTCATACAAGTGTGTTCCCACTGGCCAAGGACACCTGTTCCAGTCATTCCACTCTTGGTCCCTCCTACAGTTTAGGTGAAAAGGCACAACAAAGGATTCACTCCTCAGCAGACATCAAAGATGATTTCTACTATTTTGCCCTGGGCATGTAATCCAAGTTATAGTTCAGAAAGCAGTATTACTGTAATGTTTGAACAATAATTTGACATGCTAAGTTTAACCTTCTCCTTTTGTGCCCATATCCTAATATTTGCTTTTTCTTACTTCATAGTGAAACATTAGTGAAGACTTCTTTGGGAAGAGATGTGCAGCACGAAAAAGACCTCAGTAAAGGTGTCAATGGAGAGAGGTAGAAATACTTTTGGCAGTGTTGTCCCAGTTCTGTTCCCATGTCCAGGCTAGTCCAGGGGTTGGATCCTGCTTTCAGCAGATGCACTGTCCTGGTGCAACATGGAAGGACTTGGAAACCCACATGTGCTCAGAGGTGGCACCAAGGCAGTTTGTCAACAGCAAAGGACTGTCACGGTGAGAAGAGCGATTTCAGAGAGGACATGGTTCAAGGCTAGCAGGAGGCACAGTTCCTCCAGCTCCTACCAGAAGCCTGTGAGCCACCACTGACCCACAAGCAGCACCTTCTTTGGCAGAACCAAAAAGGCTGCTTGCCCCAGCACACCTGATGGTGGGTTTGTCCTTATGCACTACTGTTCTTTCTGCTCTGTGGCTGGAACAAAAAGTTAGGCATAATTTGCCTACTGCTTTCCACCTGCTTGGGCAGCAGTTAACAACAATCATTAATAATTGAGGCTAGATAATAATTCAGTCCCAAATATTGACAACTGTCAGTATGTCTCACAGGACTAGAATTCTAAGGAGTTTTTTCAGTTTCTAGTTGAAGCTTGGAAGAAAACAAATTTCTCTTTTCCATTTCATTTTTCTACAGGTAGTGAGTTATAATTCAGGGCAAAATGAGGAGGAAGGTTCAATCAGGAAATGTGACCAGTATTCAGAGCACAGCTGGGTCTTGGCTTTGAGTCTATCTTTAGTATTAAACAGGTTTGAGTTTGTCTCCCACAAACCGTGGGAGTGGGTGGCTCTGGCTGTTCTGGGGCTGAAATGGAGACACTTTGTCATCTCTCCTGCTCTTCCAACATTTTCTCTGATTCTTCACAAACTGATTTCTGTCCAACACCAGACTAGCAGCCAGCTACCACCGAAGGGGACATCCTTGTCCTGCCTATCCAACACCAGCTGGCTGCTTCTCCTGCTTCCCTTTGTGCCACACCAGCTCCTGGCTAACCCTTCAGAGACCCAGCTCAACCCCCTAAGCTGGTAGAAAACTAACCTTCCAAAAGTGGTGGGAATGATCTACTGTTGGATTAGCAAACTGACTGAAATCCTCTAAGGGTTCTGTTTAACCTACGTTAGCTGCATTTTAACAAGCTCAAGGAAGTCAAACTAATGGAACAGTCCTTCCCTCATGAAGGAGCACAGGAGAACTAAAAAGTCTAAAAAGTCATTTGGTGAAAAGCTCTGTCAGGAGAAACTCATGTAAATAAATAAATTTTCTATCTTGGAATCTTATTACCATCTATCTTGGAATCTTATTACCATCTACAAATATCAATGCTAAGACCTAGTTACTATAGTCCTTTCCTTTTTCCCGTCTAGATATCAGCATTTCATCTTATTTCTGCCTTTCTGCCTTTGTCCCTGTCTATTCTGTCTTCTGTTTTGGTGTTTCTCTCTTTTTTTTAAACTACATTTTTATTTAAAATGCAGATGTCCCTGTGCACAATGCAGTGAAAGATTTAGCAACTAGAATAAATAAGGTACATAATTACTCCATCTCTTGTGTTTATGTCAACTTTATGTGATAACCTTTATTGTTCACCTTCTGTAACAAATCACTGTTAATCCTCCCTTTAGTATTCAGGTGAGCCCTGTATTGCTCACCACTTAAATCTAATTTAGTATATTCAGAAAAAATATCTAGAGATGTTACAGAAAATGATTAATCAATTAATTGGAAAGAAGTGCAATTGACTGTGGAGCCACATCAGTGAGCAAGTGGTTAGTCTGGTTACGTCAGCTTTTGGTCCTTGTCTTACTCTTTCCTGCAAGAGGAGGAAAACTGTTGGGATGAGTTTGTGCTGCATCTTCCAGAACAAAACTCTAGGCTACCTGGCATTCTAGGGTCAGTTTGGAGGCTCAGCTCAACCCAGGGTGGTAAAATGCCTTTTTGCTCAGGAATTGCTGCAGATTTCTATGAAAGGTAAACCAGAGAATACTCCTGGGGAGGAAACACTGATGGTGTCTTAGACCTGAGGCATGCTCCAAGCAGCTGTAGACACTCAGACAGCCCTGTCTCACAGGTCCTGGTACAACCCTTGTGTCCCATAAACCTGTCAAGTCACCAACAAGCAATGTCACCACCCTGATGTCTCCCCAGAAGAGCGCTCATGAGGCAGGATGAGTTCTTTGGAAAAGTTCAATCAGGCTGAAGCTGTATGAGAACAGCTCTAGCAGGTTTCAGCTTCTTCTTGCAGCTCAGTCTGAGATACTGCAATGGCTGCCATTACTCTCCTGGCTCTCTATCTCACAGTCTTTAGGATATTTATCTATGTTACTCTTCTTGTTTCAAAGATGGGGATTTAAAGCACTTAAGAAGTACATAAAAAAGTTAGATGTGAGGTTGATGGGAATTAGATGCCTGAGACTTATCTGGCCATAAAAATAGGGTTATGCCACTCCTCAGTTACCCTTAGAAATCTAGTCTGGACAATCCAAATTCCAAAT